GGCTTGTAATCACACAATTCCATTGGCTGGCAAGACCCTGTTGCTAGTTAGCCAACCAGCAACGGGCATGAAACTGTATGCAGATGGAGAAGGGCAATCACCCTTAATGGGCGATCAATGGTGAAGGGCAATCACCCTTAATGGGTGATCAGGATATGCATAGGGGATTAAGGGGGGGGAATACAAAGAACACAACACAGAGGCCGTCACAACTTTGAACAGTCATAAAATAACCTGTTATAAGTTTAAGGCTACCTGTAGCTCTTTCAATAGTTCTCTGTCACCACCACCACCACCCATCAGTATCTGCCATCAGTATCTGCCACTTCTTTGCCTTATGACATGGCCAGCTCTAAATGCAATACTAGATCTACAGTATTTGCTTATAAAAACTCTGTCCTAATCCATAGCGGTTTTGCGACAAACTCAGGAATCTGAGCATTTGAGGATCAACTGACTCTAATAAGGGCCAGTCTATTTTCAGAGAACCTTAGAATCCATTCCTGAAAGCTGAGATGAATCGGATCTTATCCACTCACCTCTTGGTAAAAAATCCCAATGGGTTCTCGAAAGACAATCCAGATCACAGACTCTTCACAGTTTGGAGAAGTGAGAGAACCGCTGTAGCAGTAATAACTGCTTACATCTGCTGTCTTCAATAAACCACCCAGAGAGAATTCCCCATTCAGATCCCAAGAATCATCTGAAAAACCAGAAAAAAGAGACATCACCTCATTTTTATTTTAGGGAAGTGGGTGGGACTGGGGGGGAGGGGAGATCCAGAGACTCACCTTTTTCTGGGATTTTGTCGAGAAGATTGGCTAGAGTGGTCCATGGAGTGATATAGTAAACCCCTTGGGATATCTGTAGCAAATTGAAAGAAAACAGTATATAAGGTCTCCTGTGCTATACTAAGAAACTGTATGTACTGTATAGTTGGTGGGATGCAGGGAATAGTCGCTTAGCTTGCAAAATAGTCTCTCAATTAGAGATGCCAGCTTGCAGAGAATAGCATGAATGTGCCTGGCGCAAAAGTGGGTTACAGTTGCATTTATGTCTATATATATATATATATAGCAGGGATGTCAAACTCAATTTCATTGAGGGCCGCATCAGCATTGCGGTTGCCCTCGGGGNTGGCCTGGGTGGGTGTGGATGGAGTGGGTGTGGCCTACTGGGTGGGCATGGCCAGCTCTACATCGTTCGCGTCAAAGGTGCCTGTGGGGGCCTGGGCAGGAGTGGGACAGATCTGAGGGTCTCTGGCAGAAGGGGGTGGGACCAGGGCAAGGGCCAAGGCATGGTCCATTTCTTCATTCCTCACAAAGGGTGACACCTCCCCAGCATGCACCCAGGGAGCGGGGCTGACGCAGCAGGGGCTGGTTCCTCGCTGTTTCCGGACGGCCTTGTGAAGCTAAGACTGAATGCGTTTCAGCATAGATGGCCACCACAAAATTGTACATTGGCTCCCGGCCGGCCTGGGCCAGGGCCAAGGCAGAGGGGGCCATTCCCTCACTGTTTCCAGGATGGCTTTGCGGGCCACATGAAACCACTTTGCGGGCTGCATCCAGCCCCCTGGCCTTGTGTTTGACATGTCTGATATATAGTCTCTGACTTACAACCATTCATTTAGTGACCAATCAATCAGAATAGAGCTGAAAGGGACCTTGGAAGTCTTCTAGTCCAACCCCCCACTCCAGCAGGAGACCCTATACACTATACACCCTATACACCGACAATGGCACTGAAAAAGTGACATAAAATAGCAAGAGGAAAAATAAAATAATACACCCTTACCTCCCACCCCAGCGACAACACACACGTTGACAGACACATGTATTATAATTGCCAACATGTGTCCAAACTAACCAACACAATTCTTTCTATTAGTAGGGAACATGACATGAGGAGAACTAAAGCTGATATCCTGGTCTATCCAGGGTTTACCTAACCCAAAACCGGTTCTATGAAAGGTTTTAACTCATGATGGGCAGCAGACCCCAGTAACTAGGAGTCCGTGCAAATTAACCCAGAAAATAAATGGTAGGTGTGGTATACGGAATTATCTCTGAACGTGTCAAATCCCCATCCTATTTGGAAGATGCCACCCTAGGCTGCCCGAGGGACAGATACTCTTGGACCAATCCAGCACTGGATTGGCATTCTTCCTGGCCAACCATTTGCGCTGCTTACCTGCATGAAGAATGCCAGGACAACCAATCCTTGAGGATCCTTCTTCGCATCTTCTAAACTCATGTTGTTTTTAGTGTGAACCACGTGCATCTGGTACAAGAATGAAGAATGAACATGAGCACCAATACTTTAAACAGAGTGTGTTAACAATGCAGGTAGCCCTCGACTCACAATCATTTGCTTAGTGACCATTTGAAGTTACAATGGCCCTGACAAAAGTGACTTGTGACCGTTTTTCACGTTTACAACCTTTGCAGCATCCCCACGGTCACATTCAGACGCTTGGCAACTGGCTCCTGTTTGTGATGGTCGCGGTGTCCCAGGGTCATGTGATCACATTTTGCAACCTTCTGACAAGCAAAATCAATGGGGAAAACCAGATTCACTTAACAACCCCCTGCTACTAACTCAACAAATGCAGTGAGTCAATTAACAACCATGGCAACAAAGGTCATAAAATGGGGCAAAACTCACCTAACAACTGTGTCGCTTAGCAGTGAAAACTTTGGGCTCAGTTGTGATCATAAATTGAGGACTGTGTGTATAAAACAGTTTTTCTCAACCCTGGCAATTTTAAGATATGTGGATTTTAACTCCCAGAATTCCCCAGCCAATCATTCCATCCTATCCTACACACACACAATCTATAAAGCTCAGTGGTTGGCTATTTGTAGTTCCCACCTGTTCTCTTCAGATAGTTTCTGCGCATGCCCGAAAGATGGCGGACGCCGTCCCGTAGCTCCGCTGTGGTGGAGCTGAAGATGGGTAGAGGGGGGGCCTTGGAGACCCCCGAAGAGACCCCCTGGTGAGTTTCCCGGGAGTGGGAGGAATCAGCCGTTTGCCGTTCGCCGTTTTCGTCTTCGACGGCCTCGGCGGCCGCGGCGGCAAACTCGGCGGCTTCGGCGGCGAGGCCCTTCCATCTTTGGCGGCCTCGGCCTATCCGCCTTCGGCAGCCTCGGCGGCCTCGGCCTCGGCGGCC